AAAATACAGTAAAATCATATTTATTAAAGTTATTGTTCATACATGAGATGTTGAACACACTGCATAGTTTGTAATTTCATTCAGCTCCTTTCAGTCATAATTCAAGACAAATAAAAGGCAACAATACAGAATATAGCAAATTGTCTTGTGCAATCGGTAATTATGAGAATTACTTATGGGTGCACAGGAATATATTTCGTTATGAATTATTCCTAATATAGAATTCTGAATTATCAGTTTTTTGGGGTTAATTCTCTGAAAAAACGAAAGAATTTCACAATGTCGAAAACGGAAAGTTTTTATCGTAGTGTTTCATCTTCCGGAACATTTGAATGACCGATATCAACTTTTTAAAAATCTGCACCAATCTCTCCGCATTCTCTTTTTAAAGTTTTAATCTTCACACGTAAGATTTTGCATGACGAAACGCCAGCCCATTGTTATCCATGTACTTGTAAATAGCAGAATTGCGGATTCCGGCAAATATGATTTGCCTACTGATCACCTGTCTGGCGCGACAACCACAAGGAACAATCAAATTACGATCGCCGTAACACCGGTGTTTGCGACCGATGCCTGTGAAGCGGCGATCCTGGTTGGTGTGGATCAAATACGGTAACACAGTTAGCGACGAAATACTTAGACTACATATCTTCACGTAAAAACTACACTCTCGATGATAGTGAATATTTTTACTGGAAACACATTAGACAAAAAAACAAAGGTGTCATCATAGCAAACTTCTAACAAAGATCACTTTATTTTGAAATTGTTAATATTTATAACAACGAAACTGATTAGTCGATAACTTTGTTATCGCGACCAATCAGATACAAGCTCCTACATACAAACTTATGAATAGACTTACCGCACAGGTTCGTGGGGGTAGGAAAACATGCAAAAGAACGATGGTGCATGGATATATCACATTGATGATGAGGTAATATTAATGTATGGTTTATTTAGTAATGGTATTTAGTCTAATAGCAAGATTCCGATTCCGATTCTGGGCAAGAAACCGTCGAGTTAAAGATTACATCTAAACCTACGCTGAACATTTAATGTGCTAACAATAAAAAAACCTTACTTTAGAATAAACACATTTGTATATAAAAGATATTGGCAACACTTCTGTGAACAAATAAAAGGGACAAACAATATGTTTGCACAATTTCACAGGGTCGAAGAGGTTTAGCACTTATTCTGCTTGAAAAACATGTATATTCTTTGCACGGACTCCAAATGATTAAGCTAAATTCCTTAACAAAAATGTTTTAGAAGTTACTTACGGGCCAACTACAAGAAAACACAAGGACTGGTTTGATGAGAACTGCACAGAGATCCAGCAGCTGCTAGAGGAAAAGCGACGTGCCCACAAAGCTCGTCCCGACGATCCAAAGTCAGTTTCGATGAAAGAAATGCTGAGAAATGTACGGAGCAACATTCAAGTGAAGTTGCGCCAGATGCAGGATTCCTGGTTAAGCAGCAAAGTGGATGAGATCCAGGGCTTGGCAGACAGGAATGACATGAAGCGCTTCTACGAGATCTTGAAGGAAGTCTACAGCCCTACCAACTCAGGATCACTGTCTCCCCTCCTCAGTGCTGACGGGTCAACCCTTATCACTGACAAGGAGAAGGTTTTGGAGAGATGGGTGGAACACTCCAACAGCGTCATCAATAGGCTTTGCACCATCAACGATGATGCCATCGACAGACTATCCAAAGTCCCTGTTGAAGAGACCATGGACACCCTGCTCACCTTGGATGAGATTCAGAAAGCAGTCCGACTACTTTACAGTAGCAAAGCACCTGGTTTGGATTCCATCCCAGCTGAAATCTACAAGGAGAGTGGCGCGGCCCTGGTTGAGAAACTTCACCAGCTGTTTCAGCTCATCTGGCAGCACGAGACAGTGCCACAGGACTTCAGGGACGCCTTCATCATCCACCTCTACAAGCACAAAGGAAACCACCAAGTCTGCGACAATCATTGCGGAATCTCACTGCTGTCCATCGCTAGCAAGATCCTGGCTAGAGTTCTGCTCAACCGCCTCATCACGCACTTGGAGCTAGGCCTCCTACCTGAGAGCCAGTGTCGTTTCCAGAAAGAATGCGGGACTATCGACATGGTGTTTGCTGCCAGACAGCTACAGCAGAAGTGTCAGGAACAGAACGCCGACCTCTATTCCACCTATGTCGATCTGACCAAGGCCTTTGACACTGTTAGTAGAAAGGGTATTTGGGGAATGATGGCAAAGTACGGATGCCCCAGAAAATTCATCGTCATTGTATGACAACTACACAGCATACTAGCAAGAGTCCAGGACAACAGTGAGACGACTGCTCTATTCTCTATCTCCAAAGGAGTGAAACAAGGCTGTGTCCTTGCTTCCACCTCGTTCAGCCTCATGTTCTTAGCCATGCTGACAGATGCCTTCAGAGACCCTGATGTGGACATCCGCATCAACTACCGGACGGATGGTTCAGTGTTCAACCTGAGGAGGCTTCAAGCAAAAATCAAGGTTTTGACTGAAATCATCAACGACCTCCTGTTTGCCGATGACTGCGCCCCCAATGCTTCCACTGAAGCATGCAACACAGCGTTGACCTGTTCTCTGATGCCTGCAACAACTTTGGTCTCACCATGAGGACAAAAAAGACTGAGGTAATGCATCAGCCAGCTCCAGGCAAACCGTACATTGAACCGAACATCACCATCAATGAGCAGCGACTGAACTTGGTTAGTTCACCTACCTTGGCAGCACACTCTCCAGGAATGTAGTCATTGATAACGAAATCAGCGCCAGACTCGCCAAAGCAAGCTTCACTTTTGGCAGATTACACAAGAGCGTCTGGAACAAAAAAGGGATCACCACAGAGACAAAGATCAAGGTGTACCGTGCTGTTGTTCTCACTGCATTGCTCTATGGCTGTGAAACATGGACAGTCTTCAGCGTCACACCAGGAAGCTGAACCACATCCACACTACTTGCCTCAGAAAATTTCTCGACATCAAGTGGCAAGATAGGATTCCAGACACGTGGTGACCTGCTTAGCATCCACACCATCCTGATGCAGTCTCAGTTTCACTGAGCAGGTCACATAGCCAGCATGTCAGAAGAGTGTCTCCTCAAGAAACTACTGTTCGGAGAGCTACAGAAACGTAAACGCTCCCAAGGTAACCAGAAGAAGCGTTTTAAGGACATGCTGAAAGCCTCACTGAAGGCTCTCAACATCGGCCAGGTCACGTGGGAGCAGGCAGCCCAAGACAGAGGAGCATGGAGGTCAGCTGTACACAAGGGTGCCAAAGCATGGAGTCGGCAACTGCAACAGCAATGGTCTAATACTTGTCCAGACCTGCGCTGAGCATGGTCTTCTGATCACCAACACCATCTTTAACCTCCCTACCCACAACAGAACGTCATAGATGTATCTCCGCTCAAAGCACTGGCATTTCATCGACTATGTCATCACAAGACTGGATAGCTGTTGCTGAAGACTGCAGGCAAGCCAGGAAGAACAGAGCCATCAACTCTACAACAGCAGCCATCATTCTCTGTCTGTACTGCCAGAGACGCTTCCAAGCGCAGATTTGCCTTACCAGTCATCTGCGGACCCAAAGAGCATGACTTCCCCAACCCCATGATGACTCGATGGTCCTCGTCGCATAGACAGATGAACAGCATACAAAACCAGGGTTTATATTGGTCTGTGCTTATATTAACAAACCAGGTGTTCCAAGGTTTATAATGGTCTGTGCTTATAATAACAAACCAGGTGTACCAGGGTTTATAATGGTCTGTGCTTATAATACATACCGGGTGTATCAGAGTTATAATGTTCTGTGCTTATAATACCGATCCAGGTGTACCAGGTTTATAATGTTCTGAGCTTATAATAACAAACCAGGTGTACCAGGTTTATAATGGCCTGTGCTTATAATAACAAACCAGGTGTACCAGGGTTTATAATGTTCTGTGCTTATAATAACGATCCAGGTGTACCGTAGTTTATAATGGTCTGTGCTTATAATAACAAACCAGGTGTACAAAGGTTTATAATGTTCTGAGCTTATAATAACAAACCAGGTGTACCAGGTTTTTAATGGTCTGTGCATATAATAACAAACCAGGTGTACCAGGGTTGATAATGTTCTGTGCTTATGCTAACGATCCAGGTGTACCGTGGTTTATAAAGGTCTGTGCTTATAATAACAAACTGCGTGTACCAGGGTTTATAATGTTCTGTGCTTATAATGACGATCCAGGTGTACCAGGGTTTATAATGGTCTGTGCTTAAAATGACAAACCAGGTGTACCAGGGTTTATAATGGTCTGTGCTTATAATAACAAACCAGGTGTACCAGGGTTTATAATGGTCTGTGCTTATAATGGCAAACCAGGTGTATCAGGGTTTATAATGGTCTGTGCTTATAATGACAAACCAGGTGTACCAGGGTTTATAATGGTCTGTGCTTATAATAACAAACCAGGTGTACCAGGGTTTATAATGGTCTGTGCTTATAATAACAAACGAGGTGTACCAGGGTTGATAATGATCTGTGCTTATATTAACAAACCAGGTGTACCATGGTTTATAATGGTCTGTGCTTATAATAACAAACTGAAAGTACCAGGGTTTATAATGTTCTGTGCTTACAATAACGATCCAGGTGTACCAGAATGTATAATGCTCTATGCTTATAATAACAAACCAGGTGTACCAGGGTTGATAATGTTCTGAGCTTATAATAACAAACTGAGTGTACCAGGATTTATAATGGTCTATGCTTATAATAACAAACCAGGTGTACCAGGGTTTATAATGGTCTGTGCTTATAATAACAAACTGAGTGTACCAGGGTTTATAATGTTTGTGCTTACAATAACGATCCAGGTGTACCAGGATTTATAATGCTCTATGCTTATAATAACAAACCAGGTGTACCAGGGTTGATAATGTTCTGAGCTTATAATAACAAACTGAGCGTACCAGGATTTATAATGGTCTATGCTTATAATAACAAACCAGGTGTACCAGGGTTTATGATGGTCTGTGCTTATAATAACAAACTGAGTGTACCAGGATTTATAATGATCTATGCTTATAATAACAAACCAGGTGTACCAGGGTTTATAATTGTCTGTGCTTATAATAACAAACCAGGTGTACCAGGGTTTATAATGGTATGTGCTTATAATACATACCAGGTGTACCAGGGTTTACAATGGTCCGTACTTATAATACATACCAGGTGTACCAGGGTTTATAATGGTCTGTACTTATAATACATACCAGGTGTACCAGGGTTTATAATGGTCTGTGCTTATAATACATACCAGGTGTACCAGGGTTTATAATGGTCTATGCTTATATTAACAAACTAGGTGTACCAGGGTTTACAATGGCCCGTGCTTATAATACATAGCAGGTGTACCAGGGTCCGTGCTTATAATAACAAACCAGGTGTACCAGGGTTTACAATGGTCCGTACTTATAATAACAAACCAGGTGTGCCAGGGTTTATAATGGCCTGTGCTTATAATGACAAACCAGGTGTACCAGGGTTTATAATGGTCCGTGCTTATAATATATACCAGGTGTACCAGGGTTTATAATGGTCTGTGCTTATATTAACAAACCAGGTGTACCAGGGTTTACAATTGTCCGTGCTTATAATACATACCAGGTGTACCAGGGTTGATAATGGTCTGTGCTTATAATAAAAACAAACCAAGTGTACCAGGGTTTATAATGGTCCGTGCTTATAATATATACCAGGTGTACCAGGGTTTATAATGGTCCGTGCTTATAATACATATCAGGTGTACCAGGGTTTATAATGGTCTGTGCTTATATTAACAAA